TATTCAACTTTGCTACTAAATTAAATGAATTTTTCCCAATGCTTCGTTGCTGCAATATCCTATTCTAGAATCGGGACATTAAAGACATTATGGCACTGATTGTTTTGGTGCTATGGCACTTATTCTTAACTTTGTAATTTTTGTCTCATTTCTAAGGACATTCTTACACAAAATCAACTAAAATTTATTATAATAAAAATAAACATATATTTCACTTAACAAATTCCTCTCATCTTAATCTCTTGCTTGTCCTCAAAAAATTATATTTGCACCTTTGATCAACTCATTATTCCTAATAAGAAAAAGTTGCACATTAAAATTAATTAAAATGTAAGATAATACTCTATTATTTAGAAGTGAATAATAATGATCAAAGGGTAGCAGCTCTAAATTAAATAATCATGAACAAAGCATCCTAAGGAAACACCTTCAGTAGCATTAAAATCAAACTCTTTAACTACAAATGTAAGAGTAAATAGACTAGTGGTTTAGATTAAATGGATTGTCATTTAGGAATTGGTCATACATTTGTTAATTTTGAAATTCATTTATAAATATTTCATATGTAAAAGTTTGGTTAAACTTTCCTTTTTATAATTAAATACTAATTTTTTATGTTATAATACTCATTTTACTTTGGCTTTTTTCTTTCTTTCTTTTTATTTTCTTCTATTTGTTTTCCTTATGTTAATTCACATGAATACTAAAATTATGATTTTAAATATCTAATTATCTTTATTCCTTCAACCTAAATTGGAATTACATAAGGATTATACAAGTTTACTAATTTAACACTTGAGTTCGTAATGAATTTAATAAATTAATCTTAGTACTTCTTTTTTCTAAACTTGGCTATTCAATCTCATAATCAATAGTTAGTGCTTAGGTGCTATAACATTCAAAAATTAAGTGCTAACTTGAAAAAATTTTCTTAGTTGCTTGTGATGATTTTTATATTAGAAACTTTTGTTCTTTGTTCTTTCAATTTAGCACTTATAGTTTTGTATTATTCTTAATTTTAAGAAGTTTTTAATTACAAATTTTTATATTAGACAAATTATCAAAGTGCATTTACAGGAAGACATTCTAGCAATTAAGCAAATAGGAAATTTAGTTAATTAAAATTTGCATAAACAACACAAATAATGAACAGACTAAAATGTGCAAGCAATAGAATGAACAAAGCAAAATTTTTAAAAGGCATATAACATACACAACAATACATAACAAATTTTGGTTGCCTCCCATCAACACTAAGTTTTTAGTCTTCAGCTAGATTATGCCAAATATTTCTATTTAGGATATGCCAACTCAGCAATGCTCCTTAAACGGTCTATGTCCCCTCTTAAGTAAGGTTTTAACATATGGACATTAACTTTAAAAATTTGGAAGGTATTTTTATCTTAAATCTCTACAACACCATAAGAAAATTCCATAAATGGTCTAGACCACCTTGACTTTTTTATTTTTCAAGGAATAATTTTAATCCTGTATTGAATAGCGGTACCTCCTATCCACGGGTTCATTTTTTCTTAAGAAGCTTACGATCATGCCATATTTTTGTTTATTCCTTATAAATCCTAAATTTTTCATAAGCTTCACTTCTAAACTCCCCTAATTTATTCAATTGAATTAACCTTTTTCAGTGGCTTGCTTAGGATTGAAATTTAAATCATCGACTGCCCAATATGCTTTATGTTCTAGTTCCAATGAAAGATGACAAGATTTTACAATAAATAATTGATAGGTAGACATTCTAATAGGCATTTTAAAAGAAGATTTATAAGCACATAAATCATCATCCAACTTTATGAACTAGCCTTTTCTATTGGAACACACCAATTTATCCTAAATTCTATTAATCTCTATATTTCTAATTTCAACTTGACCACTAGTTTGGCAATGATAATGTTGTCATCCAATGCTGGATACCATGTTTTGTGATTAATGTTTCAACTTTTTTATTACAAAAGTGACTTCCCGCATCATTAATTAGAAACTATAGGTATTCCAAATCTATAAAAAAAAAATATTTTTCTTTACAAAATAAGTATACATGAGCTACAATTTTAGCGGTTGCCACTCATTCAATTCATTTGAAAACAAAATCAATATAAATTAAAATATATTGGAATCCATGTGATTTCACAAATGGAACCACGAAATTTACTACCAAAACATAAAAAATTTCAATGTCCAAATTATAATTTAATGGCAGTTCATTTCTTCTGGTGATATTGCCTACTCTTTGACATCGATCACACTTCTTAACATAATCATTCAAATTTTTAAATAAAATAGCTCAATATCTTGATTGGAGAATTTTAAGAGCAGTTCTAAATCCTCAAAAAATCCCTCTATAATATGAATATTTACATTCTCAAATTATAAGTCCTATTTTTGGCATTACAAATTATAATTTTATTACCCTTAGAGAGAGAAGCTCTGGTGCGTTTTCTAGAGAGAAAGCTCCATTTTTCGTATTCGTTTTTCGCAGGCTTTCCGCGGCTGGAGATCTGACGTCGAACGATCATCGGATGATCATCGGTGGATAATTATTGGTGGATATGGATGCTCCACGGCCATCTGGACCTCCAAGGGTCAATGGCAAAGGATCACATGGTGTTGTAATTAGAGAAGGAGTCGTTCCGATTTGTCGTCAAGAACTTGTTGAAGGTAAGGAGAAGAAAGTTATAGAAGATTATTGTGAAATTCAAAAAGAAGGTGATTTCCAGAGTAATCCAGGTTTTGGTAAATTTGATTTCTCGGCTTCAAATAATATCAGTTTGAGGGTGAAGAGTTATTCGGGTGTTCTTGATTCGTTCGGTGGACGGATTATTGAAAATGAAATAAATCCTGAAGGAGGACAGAAGAATGGAAATTTGGTGGATCACTCTAAGAATCAGATGAAATATGTAAATCTGATAAATAAGAATGTTGATTACTCTGAGCGAAATGGCATTGGGGAAGTGACAGATGCCTGGATGAAAATGAAGCCTATCAAAATCTCGATCAACAAAGAACAGATTGATTTCTCTGAAGATGGAATTGCTGTTAGGTTAAATGTAGATAAGGAGGCAGAGAATTCAAGAATTTTGAAAAATTCCATAGTGATTAAAGTTCTGGGGAATAATGTGTCTTTCCCGGTGTGTAGTGTAGAACTAAGGAGACAATGGAGCAAATATGGTGGTTTCCATTTGACATCAATAGGGATGAACTGGATTCTGTGTTCATTCAAGTCGAGTGAGGTGGTCGATGAAATTCTGAACGGAGTTCCGTCGTATGTGAATGGGTGCATTGTGGGGATGGACAAGTGGACGCCTGCGTTTGATCCAAATTCTTTTAAGGGGATTTCTGCTCCAATTTGGATTAGATTATCGTGCTTACCTTTGTATTATTGGGACGAAGACAGTATTGCAAGAATTGCTTCATGTCTTGGATCGCCAATGTACCTTGACGGCAATACGTTTCGCTGGAGCAAGCGTGAATTTGCTCGTGTTTGCGTCAGAATTGACATGGAGAAAAAACTGCCAAATGGAATTTGGGTGGAAGGAATAGCTGGAATATTTTTTCAAAGGGTGGAATATGAAAAAATTGATTTACTTTTCTACCAATGTGGTAAAGTGGGTCATGATTCCAAAACATGTCCTGATAATATGAAGATTGGTATCCAGGATCAATCTAAGAAGATGACTGACAAAGCTACAGGGGGAAAGTTTAAAGCCTGCTGTTGAAGGTATTAATTCAATAATCAAGGCTGGATATGGACCTTGGATACATGTCCAATTTAAAAATAGAAGATTCAGGAGGAATGCGTTGGCAGGAAGAGGTGGAAATGTGAAGGGCAATAATGAGGAGAAAAGTGTTATCAGTAATCATCAGGTGGATACAGTTGAAACAATAATAGGTGAAAATGAGAAGGGCAGGAATGAGATTAATGAACATGTTGAGATAGCTGAGGTGACTCCATTGAAAAATCCTGTTAATATGATGGATTGTATTGCTGTTGCTGAGAGATGTGAGACTCTTACAAACAATAGATTTGCTGCATTAATTGAGAAAGATGTGGATGAAGATAAAGAATTAAATGATGAAGATGATAAAGCCATGGAAAGAAATGATGTTGTAGCAGTTGTTGAAGAAAATCGTAGTGCTTTTGGCTCTCAAATTAGTTTGGCCAAGGTCAAGTTAGCTAAGGAATTGAGATCCTTGGGACCGGTTGAACTAGACCATAAGAAGAAGAAAAAGGTTGGAAGGTTGAACCCCAACTGTGGGGAGAGATCTTCTCTACTTTTTTAAATGTCTTCCTTTTTATTTTGGAATTGCAGGGGAGCAAGAAAAAGGGAGGCTTCCTTGTATTTGAAAGAAGTTGTTAAGGAACATGGAGTTTTTTTTTTTGTTGGACTTATGGAGACAAAGTTATCTAGCATTGATATAAAGGAGATTGATTATCTTATTGGCAATTAGTGGGAGTTTTTTCACTATCCTGCTGTTGGTATCTCTGGTGGCATTCTAGTTCTTTGGAATAGAAAGATGGTGTCTTTTGATGTTATAGAAGCTACTTCTCAGGTGGTCATTGGTAATCTTTTAGTTCCCTCTTTAGGAACTTGGAGAATTGCTAGTGTGTATGGTAGTAGATGTTGCAAGGAGATAAGTGAACTTTGGAAACAATTGAAAAGCATTTGATGAATGACATTCCTTCTATTATAGGAGGAGACTTCAATTGTATTATCAACAAAGAAGATAAGAAAGCAGGGAAGAGGTTCTTGTTCTCTAAGGGACCTAGGGAGATGAAAGGTTTTATGATGAATGTTGATTTTCATGATGTAGGATTTGTGGGACCAAGATTCACTTGGTGTAACAACAAGGAGGGGACTTCTCGTATCTGGGAGAGGTTAGACAGGTGTATGGCTACTTCTATTGCTATTCAGAAAATTCCTTTAGCAGTTACTTGACATCTTATGAGATTGGCGTCTGATCATTGTCCAATTGTTATTAAGATGGATGATAAGGTGCAGTTCAAGTCTAAGAATATTAGATTTGAAGATACTTGGAGGTCATATCCAGCATCCAAGAGTATTGTTTTTCATTATTGGAACAAGAAGGACTTGGGAGATGAATCTGTGATCCTTCAAAAGAAGCTTAGTCGCACTCTTAAAGCTTTATGTTTTTGGAATAAGAACAAATGCAGGGAATTAAATTCATTGAAGGAGAAGTTGAAAAAAGAAATACTTGAACTTCAAAACAAGGAAGCATTGGGAATAAATTGGTCGGTTGATGATTTGGAGGCTCTAAGAAGTAAAATACATGAACTTAATGTCACATTGAAGAGGCTCTCTACTTGGTGGAATCAAAGGGCTAAGGTTAGGTGGCATGAAGAAGGTGATACAAATTCCAATTTGTTCCATAGTTATGCCACGGCTAGAAGAAAAGGGAATAGAATAACTCAAATCAAAGATGAGCTAAGCAATGTATTTGATGAAGATGAACAAATTGAAAGGGTTTTTACCAGTTTTTTTGGAAAAAAATGGAAAAACAGGGATTGCAAAGTCTCGGATTGGCCTGCAGTTTTCGAATCACAGAAAATTTCTGATGAAGATGTGATGATTCTTAATGCAGAATTTTTTGTTTTGGAGTTACAAAACTCTGTTTTTTAGCAAGGCAACAACAAATCTCCTGGGCTAGATGGGGTTACTTACTCATTCTAAAAAAGCTATTGGAGCATTGTATGGGATACTCTTTGGAAGGCTGTTAATAGCTTTTTTAAATCCTGTCATATGCATAAGGAGTGGAAGAAGACTTTGATTATTCTGATTTCTAAAATTAAAAATCCTATGACTCCATCTAACTATAGTCCTATTAGCCTTTGTCAAACCAACTATAAGATTGTGGCTACAATGCTTGTTAATGGATTGAAGAAGGTTATTTCAAAGTTGATTTCAGAAGAACAAGTGGCATTCGTTCATGGTAGATCTATTGCAGATCATTGTCTTTTGGCTCAAGAGGTATTTCACAAATTTAAAATCTCCAAGAATAAGAAGGGTTTGATGGCCATTAAACTTGACATGGAGCAAGCTTATGATAGTATGGGATGGACTTCTATTCGGTATGTTCTTGATTGGTATGATTTTCCTATTGCTTTTTCTAAACTTCTTATGGAATGTGTGGTAGATGTTAGTTTTTCTATAATTATCAATGGGAAGAATTCTATTGGATTGATGCTCATAGTGGGTTCCGTCAAGGATGCCCATTATCACCATACCTTTTCATCCTATGTGCTCAACTCTTATCAAATTCTATTATGCAAAGGGGACAAAAGCTTGGTATACAAATTTCTCCTAGAGGTCCTGTTGTTACACATCTATTGTACGCAGATGATGTTTTGATCTTCTCTAATGCAAATGTGGAATTAGCAAAGAATTTGAAGAATATTGTGGAAGATTTTTGCAGGTGGACTGGGCAAAAAGTAAATGTTAACAAATATCAAATGATGTTTGGGAAGGTTGTTAAATATTCTATGAAGAAAAAGATTGCTAAAGTTCTTGGTTTTAAAGTTGTTAAAGAAATGAAGTATTTGGGAGTTAAGATAGCTCTTAATAGAGTTAAAATGGCTGATTTTCAAGAAATTTTGTGCAATGTGTTGGACAAACTCAATGCTTGGAGTAAGAAGTCCCTCTCTTTAGGTGAGAAGTTGATTCTTATAGATAGCTCTTTGTTATCTATGCCTAATTTTTTAGTAACTCATTCTATGGTACCCAAGAGGGTTTTATATGAGTTAGAGAAACTTTGTAGAAGTTTTCTTTAGCATAAAAATGGGGAAAGTAAAAGTATGCACTATGTGGCGTGGAAAGAAATTTGTAAACCAAGATGCTTTGGAGGATTGGGAGTACATTCCCCACTTGACAGAATTGGTTCACTTCGATCCAAGTTAGCTTGGAACTTTATTCAGAACCCACAATCTTTGTTTCATCGTGTTATGGTAGCAAGATATGGAAATGATGTGATGAATGGTGCTCAAAGGAAAATCACTTCAACAGCTTGGAAAATTCTAGTTGATGGTGGTAAATGCTTGAAGATGGCTGTTCGGGGGAGAATAGGGAAGGGTGATAAGGTTAATGTTTTAAATGATACATGGATACTTAATAGATGTTTCAACAGGTGGCCAACATTCATTGATTGCAATTCATTGGATGGGGTTTATGTACAGCATTTTATTCTTAGTAATGGCTTGTGGGATTACAATAAGTTACAGATTGTTTTTCACCCAGGTTTGGTCCACTTGATCAGTCAAGTTCATATTGATTTTGAACATGAGGACCAGCTGGAATTGATGAAGAAATGCTCAGGGAAGACTGTTTCAGCATTGGTGTATGAGCATATTCTTATTAACAAATTTAATATGGAGGATACGGATTATTTTTCTTGGCTACATAAATTGAAGCTTAAGAAAAAGGTAGAAGTTTTTTGGTGGAGATTGTGGAAGGCAGCCATTCCAACTAATCTTTTCTTGAAGAACCGTAATATTGCAAATGATGATTTGTGTCCTAGAGGTTGTAATGTAAGTGAAACTTATGAGCATATAATGGTGCATTGCAAACATATGACTGATGTTATAGAAAGAATGGTTAAATGGGGTATTCCTATCCCGATTTTTAGTTCCCTTGACAGATGTTTACAGGGATTAAAATGCATTGCACCGAAAAAATCTGGAATTATACAGATTTATTGTAATATAGTTTACCATTCATGGAAGAATAGGAATAATGTGAAACATGGGAAGGGTGCATTACCAAGTTCAGTTGTTGCTTTTAATGCTATTTTCAAAGCCATTTCAAATTCTGGTCCTCATCTTTCTTGCTGGGGTGCTAATCTCCTAAGGGAGTCTCAAAGCACTTGGTGCCCTCCACCGAAAGACTGGATCAAGATCAATTTTGATGCTTCTTTGCTTAAATCTAATGTGGCTAGAGTTGGTGGGGTCTTAAGAGATCACAAAGGCAGGTTTATAAGTGCTTTTGGAAAGAAGGGATCTCATTGGGATATTGCTCAATTGGAACATGATGTTGTGTTCTCGGTTAAGGAATTTCTGAAAAGCTAGATGCTGGAATGCAAAGGATTAATCATTGAAAGTGATAGTGCCAATGTGATCAAATTCATTCAAGATTCATTAAAGAAGAATGAACGGTACGTTGATAGATGGCCTAATAATGATTTGTGCTTTTTTTAATGATTTCAATAAAGTTGTTTTCCTCCATGCTAATAGAAGATGCAATAAAGTAGCTAATTGTTGTGCTACTTTAGCATTGGAGAAGAGTTTCTTTTTTGATAGTGTGGCTTTTGATCACATTCCTTCCTTGTTGTCTAGTTTAATCAAGGAAGAATGTGATCCTCTTATTACTTGTACTTACTAGTGATTTTGATTAATGCATTTTATTGCATTTCTTTCAAAAAAAAAAATTATAAGTCCTATTTCATCCTAAGTGACACATCTTATAATGATTTAATTATTACCCTTCTTAAATAAATATGGCTCATTATTCAGCATAAATTGTGTATTATTTATTGTATTTAAATTCAATTAAAAGTTGTTTGTTTTTTTCTATTTTATTGGAAATATTCATAAATGGGAAAAATTACAATTGTTAAGAAGCGACATGGCTCCAACGTATATCAACTACACTGATGTGCCTATTTCAAACATTACAATGCCAAATCCTCTATTTGCAAGCACTTTAATGGTACCATAGTAAGCACGCATGATATTACACAGCACTACTATTCCCAATATAAGTATTTAGGTATTGGAGAATTACGAAAATTCATATCAGAATGCTATACATTTCAACACCTCAGTGCTGCATTCCCAATTTGAGTGCCGTAATGCTAAAATTTTGGAGTACCACGGAGAAGTATAAACTCATGCGAGGTGCCACACTGACCCAACAAAAGGATGTGCCATTTTAATAAGTAACATTTCCATATCAGCTAGCATTATAGTGGAACAATTTTTACAGCACTACTGCACTAATTTATTTTTCATCACTGCATTACCACCATGTGGAGTGTTGTAACACCTAGACCCATGTCTGTAGTTATTATATATAGTTTTTCATTTCCATTATTTTGAGTGTTTTGTCACTGGAGTGAATTCTTATAATTTTAAGTGTGTTTGTTTAGTGACCCCTTAGAGTAAATTTCAAGTGAGGCTAGAGAAGTGTAAGACACCTTTTCTTCTTGAGATCTTAGCCTATCTATGTAAGAAACTCTGTAGTTACTGGAAGGAGTGTGGAGAAGAATATTTTATCCTTAATGGTTATAATTTTCTTATTACTTCTCTTGTATCTTTCCTTCCAATGAATGTAATGAAGATGAGTTTACTTATTATATTTTTAAAGTCGACTAATTCTCTAGTTTTCTGCTGATGATGTAAAGAGCTTAGAAAATACTAATGAAGACTTCTATTTCTTGAATTATAAATTTATATTTTCAATATCTCCGAATCTTCTTTTAATGCATATAATGATCATGTTTGTAGTTAAAATCTAGTATGATGTATAGCCCAGATAGAGGAATATTGAAATAGGTGGGAATACTGAAATTGAGTTTTGATATGCCTATACATAGAATGTTTGAACATTCTATGTTCTATGGAGATAATAAAACTATAGGATGGCCATAAACGTTTATTTTCACTCCTATAATCTCGACTAAGATCTAGGGCTGCCTATTCTCTGATCAACATTTATAATTAGGAGTCTCATTAGGAAAACTATGTTATTTATATTCATTAGTCTAAAAAACTTTATTCTAATAAGTATAAAAAAAAATTTATGAGTTTTTATTCTCCTTGGTGAAAAGAACTCCAAGCATCATTTTCAATTTCAGTAGGATATGTGGTCCATTTGATGTAAGCAGTAATAGTTAAGTTGTAATTAAGCAGAAAACTTCCTCATCAGTTCAACACTCTACGCTTTTAGTTTATTACTTAATTTGATACATATAATTGCATATTTTATTGGTATTTTACTAATTTTATATCAAAAAGAAAATATAAGCAAATTTTGAACTCAATGAGTCATATATAAGCTCACTATAATCCTCTCATCATGTTTTTGGCATCACTGTTAAGGAAGTAATGGGAAAGTTTAACTATATTATTAAAAATGTGTATATTTAGATCTACTTGTATCTTGTATTTTTTTATTTTGTTTGATAAAATTTTTCAAAAAAAAATAAAAGTATTTTATTAATTAACTACTTTATGTTTTTATTTTAGTTATTTTATTATTATTATTATATGCTTGGTAGATCTAAGAAGGGGCTTTTATTATTTGACCCTTAAATAGAATGGACCCATAAAAAAATGCAAAAAAGCAAAAATATTTTAGAGATATATGACATAACATAAGATTGGGACCATTCTTGACCTCTTTTTTTTTTTTTTTTTTTTTTTTTGAACATTGTAATTGTCTCCTTCAATGATTAATCCTTTAGCTTCTCGCATCCAATTTTGAATGACCTTTTCTTATGAAAGTATAGCCATTAATTCCACTTGAGCTACATCCCAATGAAGTCCCACAAAGCCAAATGCCAATAGAAACCTTCCTTTATGATCTCTAAAGACCCCACCAATACCAGCTCTATTAGATCTTAAGAGAGA